GAGTCTGGAACCTGCTAGGTGGATTTATAGACCAGTGCAGAGACTCGTCAATGTCTGATTCACCTTTATATTGTCTTCAGTAATGACAAGATCTGGTCTCATGAATCAGTGTCACGTCAGTGTTTTGAGGATTTGAACACTGAGCAGGAAAAGTGACATTTATTTGCTACTGTGGGAGCTCCAACTGTTTCACATACATTTTCTCCCTTATTCTCAAAATAACCCAATGAGGTAGGTGTTATCCCCATATTAGAGATGAGGTAACTGACGTCATTGGGGTTTAGTGATGTGCTTGAGGTCACAGAGCCAGTAAGTGTTGAGTTGGGATTCCTCTACTGGCAAAGCCAATAGACTTGTCCTTTGTTACATCATTTCCTGCGTCACTTACTGTAGACAGAATTGGTCTTTCCTCTTGTACCAGAGAGGAGCTTCAGTTTGCTAATGCAATTCTTAAACCCCACAGCTGCTTCTAGCAGATGTCATCTAGAAGGAGGTGACAATTTGTGGATGCTATCAAGCATTTGAGTCTCCTCCCTCACCCGCCCTCACCTCAGCCTCTGTGCCTGCCCTGGACACTGTGGTTGGAGTGCAGAGGAGGATTTTCTTCAAGGGGCTAAGAGACTTGGTTTTTGACTGTTCTGAGCCACTTAAGCTCTCTGGGCCTCAGGTTCCTATGTGCAAAGTGGATGCCCTTTCTAATGAGATGGTAAAAGTATGATAAAAAGCAACCACAGCAATAGCCACAACTGCCATTTACTGAGCATTATCTTGCAGATAGGATCTCACTAAACCTTGTGACAGATTTGTAAGGTAAGTGTGGTCAGTATCTACCCCTAGGTAACAGATAGAGTGACACTAGGGTTAGGTGGCTTGTTCAAGGCCACGCAGGTGCAGACTCTTAGGATAAAGACTTGGATTCTTACCACAGGCAACAAGGCCCAGATGAAGACCTCGTAAGCCACCTCCCCTCCACCCACTGCCCACACCTCACTCTCAGTGCTTCAGCCGCACATGCCTTCCCTTTGTTCTCCAACAGGCTGTGCTTTCTTCCTCCACCAAAGCTTTCCTTTGAGCAGGCTGTCCTCTGAAAATGTAATGTCTCCCTTCTGCTTGGTTACTACTTCCTATTCATTCTCCAGGTATTAGTTCAACTCTCATCTCTGAAGGAAGCCTGTGGAGGTTTTAAAATAGGCCCATATGTCTTTTTTTGACATCTTTCCCACTGAGAGGAGGGGTCTGTGTCCCTGCTTGTGGGTCTGGGCGGGTCAGCGACTGCATTGACCCAGCTGTGGTGGAAGCAATGCTGAGTATCTTCTGGGGCGGGCCGTGGGGCACCATGCCGTCTCCGCCTTGCTCCTTGGAATGCAGGGCTTAGAGCCCTGAGGCCCTCCCAAGAAGCCCAAGTTGCCCGAGACCCTGTGCTGGGCAGACCCTGTGTGGGTGCTCTGGCCGGCAGCCGGCTCAGCTCCCCCACGACAGCCAGCTTCACTGACCAGCTCCGTCTGACCCCCAGATGACTGCAGCCTCACTTGGCAGCTGACGGGAACCCTGAGAAGGAATTCTGAGCTAAGCCTTTCCAGGATATCTAACTCCCAAAATCATGGTCTTAATCTGTTTGGTTTGGGGTAATTCATCATGTGGAAGAAAGTAAGTTTAACAAGTTTCCGTAGGTGCTTCCTTCCCCCTTAGTGACCTGCCCTAGATCAGTTTCCTTTTCATGTGTCCTGACATCACTACATTCCTTTCTTCAGAACACTTGCCTCCGTTTGCCGTCACACACTCAGTATGCAGTTATGTAGCCATCTGTCTCCCCCACTAGACTGGCTTGATGAAAAAAGCGCTGTACCTGGTTTGCTTGATTTCTTTTTATCAGGAATGCACTTGGCTGCAAATAACAGTGCCGTGGCTGTTTTCTGGCAGGGACTGAAGCCCATTGGAGCTTGTTTCTCTCACAAAACATGAAATGTGGAGCTAGGTGGCTGTTAATACTAGCTCAGTTGCTCAGTGATGCGTCCAAGGACCCCAGCACCTTCCCCTTTCTTTCTGGCCACAGTCAACACAGTGCATTTCCATCCTTGTGCTTGTCCCCTCTCCTGTCACTGTTGCAAGACTGATGCCTCAGCTTCTGATTTTATATCTTTATTCAACATCTCAACAAGCAGGAAGTAAAAGGATGGAGAAAGGGGCTTTGTTCTAATGCAGATCTATAATTGCACTAGAAAGAAAATCCCAGCAGACTTCTCTTTATGTCTCCTTGATCAGAACTGAGTCATGTGTTATGCAGAAAAGAGTTAACACAGAAGGCCAGAGGCTGCTGCCTTCAGAAGAGCTTGCTTGCAAGGTTAGCCTTTGGCCAGCATCTGGAAACTTGGTACTTGACCCGGCCCCAAACGGATAAGGTGGTTTATGGCTCCTAAACTATGCAAACAATGTAATTGATGCTGAACACCTGCTTTCCTTTTGTGAATCTGGAATTTTGGTCCGTGCTGGGTGGAGTGCTGATGTGACCAGCCCCCAGTAAAAACTTTGGATGCTTACTTCAAAAGGGCTTCCCTGGGCAGAAACATGACCCACATGCTACTGCCCTTGTTCTCAGTGCCGGTGAAGGGAGCGCACTCAGGTGTCCCCTCACCCGACGGAGAGAACATGATGAAGCCTGTAGGTGGATTTCTCCAGATTGCAACTTGTGTCTTTGTCCCTTGCTCATCCTATTATGTATTCTTTTATTGTATTAAAGTTTAGCCATGAGGGCTTCTAACAAATCATCAGACGTTTGCATGGCCTTTGAGGCCCCGTGGAACACATGCTTACTATGAGATGCATGACAATCAAAGAGGAATGGGCATGATTGCAATGACGAGTGAGGACCAGTACAATTTACCCTTTGGCTTGGGGAGGGACCCAGGAGGGACCCACCCCAGCAAATGAATACACATTTGAGATTCTGGGACTGATTGGGAGGAAGAATATATATGTATGCTGGTGAGTGATGTAAAGCCTTGAATAGTTCCTGGTGCATAGAAAATATATAGTTTGCACATTTTAAAAGAGAGAGGAAGAATGAGCTGAGCAGAACCATATTTTGGCTTCATCTATCATTTATTCCAAAGCCTAAATCTTAATTATTATGTCATATTGTCACCCCCTTTGCCTTCTTTCTTTATGGTGCTGTCAGGAGAGTCACATAAGGTGGCTTTTAAAAGGACCACACACCACACAGATGGGAAGGCTCTCTGACAGTCTGCGTGCGGTGGTACGAGGCAAACTTGCTTTGTCCTCTTGGGAAATTAGTAAAATAGCACCTCCTGCTGCCCCATCTGGTGTTGTGTCTGGAGTGGGTATTTTGGAAGTGCTATTGGGTTGATCTGTATGGGAATTTTAGCCTGTTGTCTTAAACGATTCCTACATGGAGAAGAAATAATTTCATTTTGAGAATCCTTGCTTTTAGCAACTTTGTGTTTTAAATAACTACTTCTTCATGAGGAAAATATAGGAACTTGCAAGTAGTATTTTCTTTGTTGGTTGAGAAGCTGGGGAAATTGTCCACCAGGATAGTGGGAGGTGAAGGTCAGGAGCCTCACGCAGCCCCCTGCTGAGAGGTGCAGGGGCTCCTGCAGAGGGTAGGGGCCGACCTGTGTGAGCTGCAGCGCACCAGCACTGTGTGTGGAGGAGGCTCACACGGCTCTGCCACCACATTTGCTGTCATCTCTGCCAGCAGGTTTTTTAAATTTAATTTAATTTAATTTTTTATTTTTTTGCTGTCCATGAGAGAAAAAGAATCATTTTGACTCACAGAATATCAATTCCAAGAATGACCTTAGATTTAAATCAGTCGAAGACCCTAATTTTACAGATAGAGAAACAAAGATCTAGAGAATGGAAGGGACTTGTCCAGTGTCACCAGATAAATCAGTGCTAGAGCCACAACGAGGAACCAGATCTGCTCACCCTCAGTCACTGTGCCTTTTGCCTACATATCACAGACTGCCCATAGCAGAGAGGGCACTGATAATATTCTTCTAAGGTTTTGTAGCTCCTTATGATTTTCAAATCCTTGTGATTTTAAAAGGTGTATCTGTATTTTAATGGTAAGTAAATGGAGATGCAAGATGTTGAAGGGCCCAGTTCTTCTAACTCTGAAGTTTTGCTTTTAATATTACTCTGGACCGTAGAATTTTAGCAATGATAACAACAATTATTATGACTTCTACTCTTAGTTAGAAGGCTTTTGGCTACAATGAACAGAAAAAAGTAGTCTTGTAATAAGGATTTATTTTCTCACCTGGCAAGAGCAAGCAGTCTGGAAATAGGGCAGAACCAGCGTTGAGAAGAATTTGGTGGCTCAGTGACATCACCACATTCCCAGGTTCCTTCTGTCTTTTTTCTCTCCCATATTCAGGCAAGCAGCAGGATCTTCCTTTGTGGTCACAGAATGGTGCAAATTAACATAGTAACTTTAATGACCAAGAGGCTGGCAGATACCTCTTTATTTTTAGCAAGAAAAACTTCCTAGAAGTTACCCAGAAAAGTTATTTTAAGGTACCAATGGCCAGGATTGGGTCATGTGCCCATTTATGCCATCACTGGCAAGCAGAAAAGACTAGCATGCCATTGAGACCCACCCAGATGCACTGCCTGGGGTCTGCTGCTGTTGAGAAGAATGTTCAAAGATGTGAAGTAACACATCCAAGTTCACCCAGCTAGAAAGTGACTGAGAAAAGAATGAAACCCACATCTGCCTGCCTCTGCATCCAGTGCCCACCTCCCATACTCATTTCCCATGCTCTCCCCTCCACTGTGCCACTTGCCAAGTTCTAGCTGCGCCCCTCAGTTGCTTTGGCTGGCAATTGCAGGATCGCCTTCTTGCCAGGTCAGTGTCAGCAATCAATCCTCATCTCCTGGGCGTGAAAACCAGCCGATTAGAGCTGTAAGTAGGTGTTTAACAATACGGAGGCAGCCAGGGCGTCCGTCAGCAGTTTTTTCCTGGCAGCTGGGCATTAGCAAATATGCTGAGAGAGGCATCTTGTTCAACTGCCGCTGGGAGGAGGGGAGTCTTGCCAGGGCAGGTGATCTGAGAAAAGTAGAATGACAGGATGTCGGAGCTGAAAGGTCCTTAGACTAGGTCTAGTCCAGCTCCATCGTTGCACTGATGGGAAAACCATGGCTCAGAGAAGAGCAAGGATTGCTCAGGATCGCAGAAGTCATTACTGGATCCAGGACTGGAGCCTGGAGTCAGCCAGTGGTATTTCCAAGACTGACTATCTATACCATTGCCTTGTGATTCTCACTCATGAAATTAGTTTATTGACATGACATCTGAAAAAGAGGTATTTTGGACTCTGTTGTCTAGTCCCAGTTAGGCATCTCTGGTCATCTCCTGAGTCATGCATTTGCATGGGCTCATTGCTCCAGGGAAAGCCCTGCCTGATTTCTAGTCACAGACGGGGCAGCCACCTGCAGCAAATGCCCACTCCTCTCCAACTTCCTTCTTCCTTTCCAGCCATGGTAGCCTTTCTGGTTTGATCATTCAGAGCAAGTCCTGCTTTCGGAAAGATCTGAAGGCCTGTGAAACTTGCAGCTTCAAAGTTCAAAAGAGTGTTCTCAGCTTGATGAGAAAAATTTACTCAGCAGGTCTGAGTACAAGGATTCCTTGTGACATTATGTGATGGCTTGAGATATTTCTAATAACTCATTTATATACATGTTTGGGGAAGTCATGTGAACTTAAGTTGTACTTACTGAACATAAACAAGGGTGATAATCAGAGGAGCTGCTAGTTATTGAGCCCTACTCTGGGCCAAGAACTGTGCCAGGTCCTTCCTGTGCATTTTTAACTTCAGTCTTCAGAGTACATGATGTTTCTTATAGTTACTTATTTATGTCTGTTTCTCAAGATTAGCAAGTTTGTTCCATAGTTCAAGGATCCTTTAATTTATTACTCTGTCTTCAACTCCCAGGACAGTATCTATCACATAGTAGATGCTCAGTTAATCTATACTGAATGAATGAAGTGGCAGGAGCCTGGTGAAGTAGGTATGCTTGTTCTGTTTAATAGCTATGACAGCTGAGACTTAGAGAAACTAATTTGTCCAAGGTAACTGTATCAGTCATCTTTGGCTGCAATTAATAAAAATCCAAGTAATATTGGTTGAAACAAAATGGGGGTATTTTTTTTTCCTCAAACAAGAATTCCAGTGGTACTTTGACACCGATTCCACTTCAACGATGCCATTAAGGACCCAAGTTCTTTCTAACATTCTGCTCTGCCTCTGCCATCTTTGCTGTGTTGGCTTTTCTTCTTTATGCCTGTATCCTCCTGGCTGGTTATGACCTGCAGTGCTTGCTTCAGGCAGCAAGTCTGTGTTCAAGGAAGAAGCAAGAGGATGGGATAACAACGGCCATATTTGTTTCTTTAATCACAAAAAGTGAAAGTCTTCCTGGAAAGCCCCTGGCTGATTTCTACTTGTAGTCCCATTGGCCAGAGTTAAGTCATTTGACCACCCTAGCTGCAAGGGATGCTGGGAAAGTGAGTATTTGTTTTTCTCTGGTTTTGTAGAGGAGGCAGGCAAGGGAGATGGGGATTAACAATAGATGTGAGTTGGCCAACAAATGTGTCTCCTGCTGTCAGGTGGACAGTGGAGGCTGAGCCAGGACTGGAGCACAGGTTTGCTGCCAAAGTCTGTACTCTTATTGACCAACCTGACTTTTACTCTTGATCTTGATAGAAAATGATTGGCTTGGGAATATCTTGTTCTATTCTGAGTTCTAGTTTATGTGAAAAATGAAGGAATGTGTTAAGTAAAGTCTGTATATCCTGCTGGTAATGAGGTTGTATGATTTCATGTCTCAGTTTGGCTGATGGCCACTTTTAAAAGTCTTACTCAAAGCTAGAACAGAATCAAAGGCACTGTCTCAGTGGAGTAATGTATTTCTCAGCATCTAAATGCATAAAATGGGATTGATTTTTTTAGTTTGTTTTCACAGATGGTGCTGTGTGTGTTTATGTGTGTCCCTTTGAGATATCTGAGTTCTAGTTTCTTTATGTGAAAAATGAAGGAATGTGTTAAATGAAGTCTGTGTGTTCTGCTGGTAATGAGGTAGTATGATTTCATGTCTCGGTTTGGCTGATGGCCACTTTTAAAAGTCTTATTCAAAACCAAAACAAAATCAAAGGTACTGTCTCAGCGGAGTAATATATTTCTCAGAATCTAAATGCATAAAACAGGATTGATTTTTTGAGTTTGTTTTCACAGATGGTGGTGTGTGTGCTTATGTATGTCCCTTTGAGATATCTGATTCAGTTTTAGATGGTGAATGAAGATTGATTTTTGTCTGTTGTGATCTGTAAAGCCCAGTTGTTACTGAGGTTTCTGTTTATATACTTCTTCATCCTTTCCTTCTTTGCTTTCCTGAATAGCACAATATGTAGAGTCTTTATGATTCAGGGTTTGATGTGATTTACTACTGCACCTTGCTAGCAGCAATTTCTCTCACAGAGTTCAGAACTAGAGGATGTGAGTGCTAGTTCCATATCTTTAATCAGCTGAAGGAAACCCTCTATTTTTCTAGGTCTCTGTTTCCTCATTTATAAAATGACCAGATTAGACAAGGTAGTTTATATTTTAGGATCCTCCTAGCTGTGATATTTATATATTTGTGATTATGTGAGGACTAAACATATTCTGATTAGTGAACAGAAGATCATATTAGCCTTATTTCTTTCATCTGTGAAATGATTATAAAGATCAAAAGAGGAAATATAAAAATATTAAATGTGAAATACTAATAATTACTATTTTTATAATCATTAAAAAAATTCTAGGCCAGGCTTTTTTTCCCCCATAAAATAGCTCATTATGGTGTATTGTAGCAAAACATGATACCTGGTGGTGTGGAAAGAGCATTGCATAGGAAAACAAACCAGTCTGGGTTTACATACTCACTGTGTGATGTAATAGCTTTGTGAGCCGGGTCATGTTATTTATCACTGGACCTCAAGTTCCTTTTCTGCAAAACCAGAATTAAATATATTTAACTCACAAGGTTATGATGCAGATAAAATAAGCAGACTTATGAAAAGCATTCAGCACAGTGGCTGGCACATGGTGAGGGCTCAGTTGAGCTTAATTTTTATCCTCCTTACTGATTCATCTAGAACCAAAACAAAAGATTTGGCAATTGTCTGGTTTTTTGGGTGCAAATTTTCCTCTATGGTGGTAAAACTTCTTTTGACTGGACTGTACATCTAGCCCATGTATCTTTACTGTATTAGCCATCTGAAGCTTTGTTGTTTCATATGGAGCAGAATGAGTGAATCTTTCGCAGTCAAGTACCCTAGTTATATTCTATTTTTTTTTTTAGCTTATGAGGCCTGGGACACTGGGAGCATCATTGAATTTTTCTAGTCTTCAGTTTACACATGTTCAAAATATTAGTACCCACTGCAGAGGACTTTTTTAGCCTTCTGATAATTTAAACATGCTTGGTAATCTCTAGAGCATTATGTAAATAGAAGATACCATTTCTGTTATCAATTCATTTAGATACTTTAAACTGGTCCCTACTTACCTGTTCAAATTTTTTCTGAACTTGAAGGTTAAAGTCATCCCACCTGTTGTAGGAAAACTTTCTTCTGCCCCATTTCTCCAAAATTTCCCCCATCATTAACTTTTCGTAGTTTACCCTGTGTGGGCCACTCAGTTGGCACTTAGCCTAGCTGCCGTATAATGGTAGTCATTTCTCCCTGTTTGTAAATCACTCCACCCAGTATCAGGAAGATGTTGGTCATGCCTTTTGCACATCTTTCTGACTCACAGCACTTGTCCATGCATCTCTCGTAGGCGACAGTTAAAAAAATAGGTGTTGGTTGATTGGTTCTCTATGTTATTATTTTATTGTTCAGGTGACTAATTTTCATTTTATTTACAATTTGATCAATTATTTTTTAATTCACAACTTATTTTTATTTACAATGTAATTAATTATTTCTTTGGGGGCATGGGAAATACATGCCTATGGCTCAAAATTGAAAAGGTAAAATGCAGAATGTGGCTTCCCCTCCCATCCCTTCTCCCTGGCTCCCTCCCCAGAGGTGGCCACTGTTGCCAGTTCTGTGACTGTCCTACCCAGAGCTGGTCTGTATATCCCCCTTTTCCTTAGGTGGTATGTCTCCCTTATGTATCTTGTATTTTTACTTATGATATCATATACTGATTAAATCAGAGAAATATATCCTCCTTTTCAGTATAAAAAGAGTGGTCTCTCCTTTCTTGTGTTTCATGGGTCATTTAAGCAATCACTTTTTTAATTGAAGATGTTAATGAGATAATTATAGGTTTACATGCAGTTGTAAGTAATAATTTAGAGGAATCTTATGTACTCTTTATTCAGTTTCCATTAATAGCATCATTTTGCAAAACTTTCAGTATAATATCACCTCCGAGATATTGACATTGATACAATCTATGGACCTTATTCAGACTCCCCCAGTTTTACTTGTATTTATTTGTGTGTGAGAGTGTATAGGTATTCAGTTCTGTGCAGTTTCATCATGTGTGTGGTTTTGTATTATCCACCACCACAGTCAAGACATTGAACATTTCCACCAGCACAAGTCTCCCTTATGGTCACACCCACTTCTCCCTTAACTCCTGTCATTCACTGATCTGTTTTCCATCTCTAAATTTTTGTCATTTTTAAAATAGTATATAAATGGAATCATACAGTATGTCACATTTTTGGATTAGCTCTCTCTTACTGAATATTATTATTGGGTACAAATATTTACCACCGTTTGTGTCTCCATTTATCTGTTGAAGGAGATCTAGGCTGTTTCCAGTTTTTTATTATTATGAATAAAGCTGCTCTGAGTATTTGTGTATGGATTTTTCTGTGAGCATAAGTTTTCAATTTTCTGTGATAAATGCCCAAGTGTGTGATTGCTGGTTTGTATGGTAATTGCATATTTAGTTTTACATTAAATTGCCAAACTTTTCCACAGTGCTGTACCATTTTCCTACCAGCAATGCATGAGTGATCTAGTTTCTATGCATCCATGCCAGCATTTGGTGATGTTACCATTTTTTTGTTTTAGCCACTTGTTCAGTGTGTAAAAGTATCTCATGGTTTTAATTTGCATTTCCCTGATGGCTAACGATGTTGAACATCTTTTCATGTACCTTTATCATCTGTATATCCTCTTCTTGAAATGTCTGCTCATTGCCCATTTTCTAATTGGATTGCTATTTTTTTAACAGTTGAGTTTTGAAATACATTTTAGATACCAGCCCTTTGTTGGATTTGTGACGTACAGATATTTTCTCTCAGTTTGTAGCTTGTCTTCTCATCTTCTTCCCATGGATTTTCATAAAACAAGAGTTTTAGTTTTGATGAGGTCCAATTTATCATTATTTCTTCTTATGAAGTATGCTTTTGGAGTCAAATCTAAAAACTGTTTATGTAGTCCTAGATCCCAAAGATTTTCTCCTGTGTATTCTAAATTCTTAATTCTGTATTTTACATTTAAGCCCATGACCCATTTCAAGTTCATTTTTTGTATAAAATGTGAGGTTTAGGTTGAGGTCCTTTTTTTTGGCCTGTTCCTGTTGGTGTCCAATTACTCTAGCACACTTATTGAAGAGGCTGTTCTTCTAAATTGCTTTTGTACCTTTATGAAAAACCAATTACATATATTTATCTGAGTCTATTTATATATGTTTTCTGTTCCACTGACCTATGTGTCTATCCATCTGCCAGTACCCCACTGTCTTGATTACTGTACCATAGAATAAGTTATGAATTCAGGTAAGTTCTTCCACTTTATTGTTTTTTGTTAAGATTGTTTTAGCTATGCTAGAGACTAGGCCTCATGAATTTCAAAATAAGCTTGTCTGTCTACACAAAACCCTTGCTGGGTTTTTGATAGTAATTACATTATATCTATAGGTCGGTTTAGGGAGAAGCGACATTTCTACTCTGTTGAAGATTTACTATGCTCTCCATTCACTTAGGTCTTTGATTTATTGTATCAGCATTGTGTAATTTCCAGCAGATAGGTACATTGTGTTATCTGAATGTTTTACTTACTTGGAACAGTTGTAAATGATCCTGTGTTTTTTCCCAGCTTTATTGATGTGTGATAAAAAATGAAAATTTTATGTATTTAGATTATATAACATGTTTTAAAAAGATGTACAGCATGATAATTTAATACATATATACATTGTGAAATGATTAATACAATGAAATTGTGTTTTTAATTTTAATTTCCACAGGGTCACTGGAATAGTATATAGAAATGTGATCTGTATTTTTTTGGGTGTGTGTGCTTTGATCTTACATTCAGCAAGCTTGATGACCTCAATTACTAAAAAAATTCTAGAACTTGTATTTAATAGATTTCCTGGGATTTTCTTCATTGGACAATCAGGTCATCTGCAAAGAGGGATAATTTTATTTCTTCTTTTCCAATCTGTTTGACTTTTATTTCTTTTTCTTGCCTTGTTGCAGTAGCTAGAACTTCTAGCACTATATTAGAGAAGGGTGGTAATATGGGACGGCCATGCCTTGTTCCTGATCCTAGGGGGAAGACTTCAGTTCTTAACCTTTAAAAATGGTATTCACTGGAGGTGACTTCATTTCTTAAAAGACTACTGAATAATATCCCATTGTAAGGTTGTAATTTACTTCTCCAGTTCTACATTAGTAGATTTTTATTGCTTTCCATCTTTTACACAATAATGCACCTATGAATATTCTTGTACACATGTCACTTTTTATATATTCATGAATATATGGGTAAAATAAATTCCTAGAATATGGCCCTCTTTACTGTTCTGTCAAGAACTACTGCCTAGAAGATCTTGCTTGGTTTTGTGATCTTAAATGCTATACAAAGACAACTCCAAAATACATGTTCTCAGCCTGACCTTTGCCTTGACTCCACATTTGTGTATTCATTTGTCCACTTAATATTTCCACTTGGATCTAAAATGCTTCTCAAAGTAAACAAGTGTAAAACTGAACTCCTAATATGCCTGCATCTGTCTGTCAAAACCTGTTCCTTTGAAGCTTTCCCCATTTTAGTAAATGGCATCCAGTCTTTTGTCTTTCCAGTGGCTTAGGACAAAAACCTTGTATTCATCTTGCTGCCTCTCTTTCTCTCACATCCAAACTATCAGCAAATCTTACCAGCAAATCCCATGCCAGCCATGACCAATTCTTCCCACTCCATGGCTGCCAATCTGTCCAGACCACTATCCTGTCATCCTGGATTAGTGTTCTGACCTCCCAACTAGTCTTTCTGTTGCATTGTTGCCCTAACAATTTATTTTCCATAACAAGAGGCCACAGTGGTTCTCTAAAACATGGCATTATGTACCCCTCTGCTCAGAGCTTCCCAGTGGCTTCCTGTCTCCCTTAGAGTAAAATGAAGGTCCTTACTCTGGGCTGGAAGCCCTGTAAGATCTAATGTGTAATTCTTGCATGCTCTGGGTCCTGCCACCTCTCTGAGTTATCTCACTTTGCTCTGGCCACACTGGCCTCATTTCTGTTCCTTAAAATGCCCAGTGCACTCTGACCTCAGAGCATATACTGACCTGCTTGTTTGGAACACCTTTCCCCAGGTATCCATATAACCTACCCCCTCCTTCCCTTCAGGCATCTGCTCACTTTTCATGGATCAGAGTGGCCTCCTCTGAACACCCACACCCTACCTTGGCACTCTCCCTTCTCTTTAACCTTATCTGTTTTTCTTCCTGCCATTTATAATCGCCTGAAATATGTTCACTTGCTTATTTGTTGTGTGTCCTTCTTGCAGTAGAATGTAAGCACCACAAGGGAAGAAACCTTGTTTTCTACACTACTGAAACTTTAGCACCTCCAGTAGTATGCAATAAATATTTGTTGAATGAGTTAATGAATGAACTGCTGGGTCACATAGTATGTGCATTTAAAATTTGATAGATATCGGCAAATTGCTTTTTAAAGAGCTTGTACTAATAGTATAGGAGAGTTATACTCCCATTGATAATACATGAGAGCCCATTCCTTGTTGTACATAATCCATTAAGAGTTTGTCTCAACTCTTAGTTTTATACACCAACTCCAGAAGCAGACATGATGAATTCAACCTCCCTACATTTATCAGAATTCTAGGACAAATTTCAGAGCCATTCCATATAGTTCTGGTTGTTTTAACAGTAAAGCAACTAAAATAACTGTGCTTTCAAGGTTTGTGTGTTTATATAATTTTACAGATAAGAAGAATCTGGAAAAGTGCTCACATCTTCTGTGTCTGGCTTATACTGTACTGTCAGGAGAGCTGACCTTATCTTTCCATTGGATCTTCTCTCAAATCCTAACTCAGAGCGCACAGGGGAACACTCCTGGTGACGTTTTTGTTCTGTAGGAACAATGGTAGTTCTATTCCTTCCCCAGCAAAGAGTGTTTGCCAACTCTCTGGGCCACTGAGGATGTTTCGGTGGGGGTGGGGTGAGGATGGCAGTGTGGCTGTTACTAAGTCCAAGCTCATACCACTCACCACACAACATGCCATTAAGTCGAGAGACAAGGTGCTGGGGCAAGGAAAATGACTTTGTTTGGAAAGCAGAAAACCGAGAAGGTGGCAGACTCATGTCCTAAAGAACCGTCTTAACTCAGGGCTGATTTCAAGCTCTTTTATGCTGGGACCTGGGAGCAGGGTAGGTAGGTCCGAGGAAGTTTGTCCTTGGTTAGTTGACTCAGGTCATTTCATTGACATGGGTTGGGCTGTGATGTTCCTATAAATCCTTGACAAACCAGTCATCATTTTTGTACATGCTTATCTCCTTAGGGGAAGTGAATTTCAGGTAAGGGGCCGATTGCATCAATCTTAAGCTGTGGGCAAAACTCCTTTTGTTGATTAACAAGCCTATGTGAGGAGCTGAGCAGGAACTGTCCCAAAGATTTAGGGAGCAAAGGAGACACAATGTGAAGGCAGCGAGGTCAAGCTTATTCACCCTGTTACATGAAGATTAGACCACAGGATAGGGACCTCGTTGCTTGCTGTTATATTCCTACTGCTGTATCCCTAGTAGGTCCTAAGCAAATTGTTCTTAGGTATTGACTTAAAATCTGTGTTATTGACATGCCTACTGTAATAACAGTCCTGGATATCAGTATTACTCTTTATAACTCATGAAATGGCTTTATATGATTCCAAACAGCACCCATTTCTTAGGGAAAGTCTCAAGAAGGTGGGCCAGGAAGGATGGAGGCAAAACTTGGTGATAGCCATGCTTCCCAAAATGTGTAACTTGGAATATTAACACATTTAATAGATTTCTTAGTTTAGGGCTTCCTAAAGCCTCCAGAGACTCTTGGTTGTGAGTATGCTTTGTGAGTACCTTAGAGGGGAATGAAGTGTGTGCTGTTTGGCAGCTTATTTGAACCAATCTTTTATTCCCTCAAGCACATCATGGGTTGGGGACTTCGGGGAGCAGGGCTTCAGGAAGACTGGCCAGAGGTCCTTCTGTCCAGGGTAAGCACTTAGAGACAGGTAATCTCTTATTCCAGGTCTGATTCTTTACTGGAGTTTCAGTTCAGAGCTTTCATCCTAAGAGAGACTATTTATGCTTTGCTCTGATTTTGGGGGCAGAGTGCAAAGGACCATCTCTAGCAGGCCTGTGACTTACTGAGAACATTTGGAGTAGTGAAATGTCTCTGGAAGGTCTGAGGTTCTCAGTTGGCTGTCCTGCATTCGTTTTCCACTGGTTGGCACAGCCAGCCGACATGCATGTTTGGCAGAACCTGTGCTCAGGTGAGATCAGCAGAAAAAGGAAGGGGCTGGAAGCATTGAAAGAAACCCTGGGATCCTCACTTCACGCTCATCTCTCTCCCACCCAACCTTCCTGGTCCAGGTGCTGTCATCAGGAATAATAGACGCTAACTCCAAAGTGGAGCTGCCACCAAGGAGGAGGAGGACCTGGAGAGGGGTACTCATAGGAGGGAGAAACGTTCTGAGGGCGAGGGCTTATTTCTAGCTGGAGGGGTCAGGACTGCTTCAAGGACATAATTTAAAATGTCCACTTGGGAGGAGTTAATATTGACTGAAGTTTTTTGGGGTGATTTGGTTATCATATTTTAGTTGTACATATCCTACTGTCTATAATTCCGTAGAGTTCCATAGCAACTCCACTTGTAGGAATTATTACATGGAAGCATTCACACAAAAATGAAAATGCATATTTATCAATAATGAATTATGTTATAAATTAATACATGAACCCTGTGAAGACAGGAAGAAGGATAAGCTATCTCTATGTAAACTAGTGTGAAAATATGTCCATTATACATTCCAAGTGAAAAATCAAGACACCATGTGTTTTGTGTAGGTACCACTTTTGTAAAAATAAAAAAGAATAGTTTATAATATAAAGACTAGAAGAGACAGGATATAGATTAAGTGGCTAATATATATCAGGGGAGTGGGAAACTGGGGTGAGAAACATCTCATGCTCTACCTTACATTTTTCATTAATATTCATGTTTAGAATAATCACATATTGCCTTTATAGTTAGAAAATAATGATTTTTTTAAAAGTACAGTTTAAGTTTAGTCTCTGTGGAGATTACTCAAGAGACTCAGTACACATGGGAATCCCCAACCACAGAGGAAATGTTGAACTTGCCTTTTTTTTCCTCCTCCTTTTAGTCCTCACATCACCTTCTAGAACCCTCATTTCTTCCCACCCCACCTTCTCTCTTGGACCTTCTTTCTCCTTTCCAACCCTCTTAAAACCCCAGTATACAGTCCAATCAGCAACTCTGACGCCTGATTTTTTTCTCTCTAGCGCCCCCTGGATCTTTCCCATATAAATGCATGCATACGGACCCCTGAGGTTTCAAGTATTTTCTCCAGCCTAGTGGCCAATGGGCTACTTGATAATTGAACAGAAGGGAAATAGCCTTTGGCATACTCTGCTTTACAGATACATCTGTTTTGTGGCCTGGGCCTCTGTGTTTTCCCCCAGCCATAAAATGATAGAATTACATCATATTCTATGTGTAAGGATCATCCCCAAGCCAAAATTCTATGATTACTTCATGTATTTACTACTTTAAGGTTTTCTGGCTTTCTAACGCTCTTATCTGCTGGAGGGGGAAAATTTGTTTTTTTTATCACATTCGTTAAAAACATGCTGACAATGAGGGAACATTGGAAATCAGCAAGTTTTAAGTCTTTACTTTGCCACTACCTTATTAAGTGGTCTTGGGCCACTCACTTTACTTCCTTGGGTCTCAGTTTTCTCAGCTTAACAGTAGATGTGTTTGTCTGCCTATATCCTCCTCATTTTAAGGGGAACTTGGGGATGAATATGCATATTAACATGGCTTTCATCCCAAGCAGGTGATAAGAGTCACATGGGCAAACAGATGTGTAAATGCTTTTCTCAGTGTAGAGGCATTTCTCAGCCTTAGCACTGTTGCCATTTGGGGCCAGATAATTCTTTGTCGGAGGCTGTCCTGTGAGTTGCAGGATGTTCCGCATCTTTAACCTCGACTTACTAGGTGCCAGCAACCCCTCCTCCTCAACTGTGGTAACTAAAAATGTTTCCATATGTTGCCAAGTGTCCCCTGAAGGGCAAATCAACCCTGGTTTGAGAACCAGAGATGTAGAGTCATAGACTGATTTTGCAAGATTGTTAACTTCATAACTACTTCGAGAGGGAGCAAATAAAAAGAAGAAAAAGTCACCTAAGTGGAATTCCAGAGAGTGCCAGGGATTTCTCTGGTGAGGAACAGAAGATAATATGCGAGGAAGACAGTGCCAAGTACAGCATCATTTCTGGGCAGTCGAATTTCCTGTGGGAACAATCTGTACCCTAAAGAAAGATGGAGAGATCAATCTTGTTGAGGAACCTTTCCACCATGGCACAGGAGAGTAGGGATTTATAGTTCTTGCCAACATCTAATTATAGATGGTGATGGGAGGGGGATCTCAAATTTGAAGGTCACAGCTTATTCCACAAGGTCAAAACGTACAGAATTTCATGGATATTAAAGCAGTTAGCTAAATCTCCCATTCAGGTGCTACACTGCTCCTTGTCATATTCCTAATTCTATCAGCTATTTGACCTTGAGAAATGTACTTATCCTCTCTGAGTGTGTGTTTCCTCCTTTCCTTTTTGATTCCAGAAGAATGGCCAATTTGTCCAATTCCTTAATAATGTAAGAACAGTTGTGGGCAAGACTAATCATTGTGCTACACAGGCTTCCACTGTGCTTTATGTATGGTGCCTCAGTTAGGCATAGAGTGAACCCATGCCTCTTGTTATTGACCCATCTTGTAGATGAGGAAACTGAGGAAGAAGAGAGGCTTTAAACCTGTTCTTCAGAGCCCACATTCCTGCCCACCACTCCAACTGCCACTGCTTCACAGCGAAGAACTTCACACACAGCACAATCCCCAGGGTCCCTGTTGGTGTTCATCTCTTTGGCTCATCTGCTAGACTGAACAGCTTGAACAATCCCTGCCCCTAATCCCAGACTCCAAGGGCTGTGTCATCTGCATTGTTCTATTCTCAAGCCACTATGCCTTAATCTTAAAGAATAAAGAACTAATAGTGGGATTTTATACACCAGGACCCATCAGGGCAGCAGAGGGCAAGTGAAGAGCCCAAATAAGTCAGGCCAAGTGACTAAAAGCTATTCATGTGGATGTGTCTGTGCCTATATCCTCCTCATTTTAAGGGGATACTTGGGGATGAATATGCATATAAACTAGGATTAAGTGGAAACTGAGAAATCATTTTTCAGTTCCTTGGATTTTGAAATAAGATTAAGTACTTATTTATGCTTAGGCATTGCTTCGGTAGCAAACTAGGGTTGAAACTGTGTGGGGTCATGGCCCAGGATACAGCATCTGGAGATATGTTACTCGGTTATGAAGTAAGATCAGAGCAAAGATACTTCACCTCTGTGGCCCTCCGTTTCCTTACCTGAAATGGGAATCAAGATCCTAACTTAAAGGTTGTTAGAGGATTAAAGGTGATGAAGTACAAAAAGCCCTTAGCCCAGTGCCTGTACATAGTGAGGACTCAAAAAAATGTTAGAAATTAGTATTATTTTAAAATATTTTAAAAGAGATTTCTAGCTACACGTTTTTGTGTTTTTTTTCTTAAAGATTGCAATATATGTTCACTTTTAAAGTCTACGTACAATAAGTGTTATGCCTTCTTGCATATAGTTCTTTGTGTTTGCAGTGTGGATACAGACGCTATAAATATTTATATACAAGGTTTTAGGTAAATGTAAGTTGTCATTTCTTTTGGATAAATACTTAGGAGTGTGATCAGTGGGTGATAAGATACATGTGTGATTATAAGAGACTGTCAAACTGTTTTCCAAGGTGACTGTTAAAATTATACATTCCTCTCTACAATATGTGAGGATGGCGGCTCTTCCACTTCTTCCCCAGAACCTAGTATGGCCAATCTTTTAAATTTTAGCCACTTAAATAGGTGTGTTATATTATCTCATTGTAGTTTTATTTCATTTTATTTTGGTATCATTAATCTACCATTACATGAGGAACATTATGTTTATTAGATTCCCCCCATCACCAAGTCCCCCCCACATACCCCATCACAGTCACTGTCCATCAGTGTAGTCATTGTAGTTTTAATTTGAATTTCCCTATCACTAGTGTTGAGCATCTTTTCATGTGCATATTTTCCTTCAGTGTATCTTTGGTGGAGTATCTTTTCAAATCTTTTTGCACATTTTTTTTAAAAGGTAGGTGATTTGTTTACTTACTATTGAGTTCTGAGAATTCTTTATATATTCTTTCATTCTGTCAAATAGGTGTTTTGCTAATATTTTCTCCCAGCTGTGGTTTATCTTTTCATTCTCTGAGCAGTGTCTTGTAAAGTAGAAGCCTTAAATTTTGATGAAGTCCAATTCATCAATTTTCTTTTATAAATCATGCTTTAGGTATTTCATCTAAGAAATATTTTCCTTATCTAAAATCACAGAGATTTCCCCTTGTTTTCTTCTTGAAGTTGTATAGTTTTAACTTTAGGTATATGATACATTTTGAGTAAATTTTTATAAGAGGTTTAAGGTATGGGTTGACAGTTTTCTTTGCATATGGATATTTAATTATTAATTTCAAAATGCTTGTTACTTGTAAAGAGTGGATGCTACTTCTGGGGTGATCTCACACATCAGTATCTTAAGAATATTAATAACTTCTACTGCCATGATTAGGATTATAATTATGTTAGTCCATTTATCTATCATCCTTCCTATCTATCATCTATTCAACAAATGAGTGTCTACTATGTAATAGTTACTGTACTAGATAAAGAATTGTCAACATTATTAACTATAATTTCAAACAACCCAGGCTCATTAACAAAGGCAGTTATGGGGAAGCACAAATTTATAATGAGGATAAGCCAGATGCAATGTCTATTCATCAGTCTGATTGGGGAGTTAATTTCTTGGGTCTGAGAAGGGAGGAAACATGAAATCTGACAGTCAGTTCTCTTAATTTCATAGCTCACTTCAGATCCTCTGGACAAGATAATCAAGTTTTAATTGAGCCAAACCCACCTCTAGAGACTTTGAAAATGGCTTGTAAACAATTTTGCTAGTGGGTCAAGTGCCCAGAGGCAGAGAGAGTGCTAGAGAGAATGGTTTACCCATCTAGCTTGTTTTTGTATTAGCAATGCATTGCCTTGCTTGTTTGGACATCTACAAACAGAACTTCCCCAAAGACAATTTAGAAAACCCATGTGAAGTGTTCAGGCCTTTGTCACAGCAATTTCTTGCCATATGTGGAATAGCAGAAAGCACATGGGAATGAATCCATGGTCTCTCACTCACAAGGCAAAACATATGGTGCCTTTTTTGTTTCTCTTTACTACAATTCTCTTCTCTGGAAAAATACAATATTGTGCCAACCCTTCAGGTTTACTACCTTCCAGGGCTATTTTTATTGGATGGTGAAGAATTTAAGATGATGACTCTTTCTGCAGTATCATACTGCCAGTATGTTGGGAGGGGTACCTCCCACGGCATTAATTCATGCACAACACCTCATGGGCAGTGAGTCATTTCTATATGCTAGGCACTCTGCTAGGCTTTGGAGATATAATGGTGAGTTCAAAACAAATATAATCCTTGCCCATATGGAGCTTGTGGTTTAGTGGGGAGAATGGGACTAAAGCAGATAATCACAAACACAAAATGTATAATTACAAACTGTATCACATCCTAGGAAGCTGTGTGATAAACTGACAATGCTTAAGTGAGCTCTCAGGTCATCTGATATATACCCCATAAATTTATGAATTGTCCCTTTTCTAAATAACGCTAAGGTCCCTAGGGAAGGATTATTTCTCACTGAGGAATGAAGAATGTTCTCAACTAGTCTCAACTGAGTCAGAAAATAGAGTAAACTAGCCTCAGTGAACAGTTTTGGGTATAACACAAAAAGTTAATGTTATTTTGTTACCAGAAACATGAAGTTAATATTCTAGATATCAAACATAATTTCTGTATCAAGATGTAAAGAGCAGGAGTAAATGTGCGTTAAAAACGTACCTGGTCTCTCCTTAGAGTTGACTTGCAAGCAGTGGAGCCTTCTGACCACTCAGGATCCTCATCGTGAGCTTTTCTCTTTTACTCTGTAGGACTTACTTGGTGGGAAGGCTGCTTGTTGACTCTGAATGTGCCCTGGCTGTAATTTCCTGGCTTCTTATCTATTTTTATAATGTTTCTATTCTTTCCATTGTTGTCAACTGTCACCTTTCCTGTTCTCATTGTGTTTGCCAAAAGTAGCTCCTCTGTCCCTCTTAACTTCTCTTTCCAAAGTGTTGTGATTTGTGCAACAATACGAGCGCATTCATCAGAACTGTTTGTGAAGTAAGAGCGTGATCAGAGGAAGATCAGAAATCCTCTTCCTTTAGCAGAGTGAGTGGACTGTATGAAGGGCTTTGTATGTTTCATTGTCAAATTTTAGTAGTTTTAACAGTTTAGGTCACCACAAAAGTATCTTTAAATAAATGAAGTGATTTACATAAACCGAGAGAATGGTGGCCAATCAAGATGCATTATATTTGCATGGTGCTTTTCACTTTTTAAATTGCTTCATTTTGCCCTCCAGCTTTCTTTATCCTTGCTAAATCGTATTGGGGAAAGATAACATGAATCTTTTAAGGAAACTCAGGTGCAGAGATATGAAGCAATCTATCTCAAGTAGCTTGGTGAATTATTGACACAGTCATGGTCAGAACATAGGACTCTTGACTTTCAGTCTGTAGATTTTAGAAGGGGAGGGAAAATAAAGAGACTACAACTCAAGAAGAAGATAAGTTGTGTTAACTCATACTGGTGTATTTTACTGGAGGAAATCTCAAGTGTTTGGGGAGCACACGTAACTTTGGGGCAGGTATGAATTTTTAGACATACCTGAATCACTCATAAATGTGCAGCGCTGGCTCTCTTGGTCACTTGGATATTCGAAAGTCTTATTTTCTCTGTCAGAAGAAATTCCTCAGTGACTAACGTGGGGGAGTTGCTGAAATGTCAGAGAGGCTGGACAATGTGTATGAAAGTGAGGGGTTTGCAATCAGGTCACCATATCTGATGTAAAGAGATTCAACATATCATGGTTTGGGCATTCCTTTTTTTCTCTCACTTATGATTTATTTGCTCAGAAGTACTTGTAACCGGCATTGTGCTATGCCCTGAGGGTCCGATGAACAGCAAAACGGGGCCCCTCCCTCGAGTTGCCTGCAGCCTGGGAAGAAGAGGGAAGGAAATGTTCTAAATCTGATTGTGAGGATGGTTCTACAAGTCCGC